CCCCCACGGCGCTCATTGGGCCGACAGGTCACGGCCAGCCGTGTCCGCGTTGCGATTGGTAGTTGCGCCTGTCTGTTTCGCTTGTCCCCGCCCACCCGCCTGGCCCGCCCTTGCTGAGCCGGAGTGAAGGGGCTCGGGGAGGCGTGGAGGGATCCGGGTTCGGGCGGGTTTGGCGGTTCGGGAAGGGGATCAACGCTGCCCTCCCAAACGGGGACTATGCTGCACGCCAGACGCCTCTGCGCGATTTACCCGGCCACGCGTACGACTTGCAGGCCCTTCCCATAAAACGCGGCCGGCGGCGGAGGCTCCTCCGACGAAAGTGCTCGGGGCGCGCCCGGGGGCGTCCGCTCCACAGCCCATCCCGCGGTCAGGCAGAGAGTCTCCTGCCTGGCTCGCCAAACTGACGTGCGGAAAACGGACTCCACAATCTGTAAGACTGTAAAGTAGGTATGTTTATTTAGCGCTGGGCAGCACGGGGGCTAAAAGCCAAAAATAAAGGATCAATAGGAGAAGTTACAAAATGGGTAACACTCAAGGGGGAATTTTGAAAAAGAGTCCCTTGGGCTGTGTACTCACTCATTGGAAAGCCGTTGTCGGGACTGGGGGTACGGAGAGTAAGAAGACCCGTATTAAGTATTGTAATCAGTGGTGGCCCTTGTACAAATTAGAAAATGAAGCCAAGTGGCCACTCAATGGGTCAATAGATTATAACACTCTCTTACAACTAATGCTGGTTTTAACGAGAGAAGGAAAATGGGATGAAGTTTCATACGCAGACATGCTTTTCGCCCTCCGAAACCATCCGGAGTGGCAAAGGGACTGGAATGGCACCACCACAGGACTCCATGGTACTCGCACTTCAGTGAGAAAATAACAAAGAACTTAGAGGTAAACTGAGGCGGTGTTGCTCGGCATGTAGTATTGGACAAAGGTGTACTAAAACAAATAAAATTCACCAGGCACCGGAACAAGATCTAACTGATCTGTTTAAGCCTCCCCCTCGACCACAGGAACAGGAAGGGGACTCGGACGGAACCTCCACCCCCCCAGACAGCCCTGTGTCTTCCCGTACTAGGAAGAAATCTGCCCCAGCAGCCTTACAAGCACCTCTTCGAGAGGTGGTAGGGCCTGATGGCGGGACAATGCTAATCAAGGTACCTTTTTCTGCCACTGATATAGGGGAATGGAAAAGGGTTGCAAAGGATTACAGAAGTGATCCGGTAAGTGTAAGTAAACATTTTCAATTTATTGTAAACCAGCATAACCCTGATTGGAAGGACATACAGTTATCATTAGAATGTATGACTGAGATAGAGAAACAACTGATTTTAAAAACAGCTGGGAATCTGGCTGATGATCATTATAGGATCACAGGAGGGGATGTCAAGGAACATTTCCCTCTCCAAGATCCAAAATGAGATGTTAAGACGTCTACGCATATGGAAAAATTGCAGGAGTATCAGGAGTGGATTTTGAAGGGAACGGAGAGGGCCGTCCCCAAAACTATAAACTGGTCAGCTTTATATACAGTTAAGCAAGGTCCTTCCGAATCCCCATCCGAATTCCTGGATCAATTGAGGGATGTGATGCACCATAGCACACCGCTGGATCCTGGGTCAGAGGTAGGAATACAACAACTAGTCTCTCTGTTCTTGGGACAGTCCATGGGGGACATTAGGTGCAAACTCCAGAAGTTGTGCCCTACAGAAAGTAGAAATCTGGAAGTGTTGCTGGACGAAGCACGGAGAGTGTTTAGTAATAGGGAGGAGGGATATAGACAAGGACAAAGGAGAATGGTGGCAGTTGTCAGAGAAGAAGAGGAAAGGAGGCCCAGACGAGAACCATCCCGACTGGGTAAAGATCAATGTGCGCTGTGTAGGAAATTTGGTTACTGGAAAAAAGAATGTCCAAGAAACAAGGAAAAGGGACAAAATCACCAGACAAGAAGGATAGTAGCCCATGTGAAGGAAGATTGACGGGGACCTGGGGAATCTATCCTAGTGGATCCACTGGTTATAATGAGGCTAGGGAAGAAACAAGAAGAGGTAGAATTTTGGTTGACACAGGGGCAACATACTTGGTTTTAAATCAAGCTTTGGTACCCCTGGGAAATCACTACATCGTGGTAAAAGGGGCAACTGGCCAAAGTGAAAAGGCATATTTTTGTAAACCTCTGAAGTATAAATTGGGAAAACAATGGGGCATCCACAAATTCCTGTATATGCCCAACTCCCCAAAGGCACTCTTGGAAAGGCATTTGTTGGAACAACTGGTTGCAAAAATTACATTTGAAAAAGGAGAAATTACTCTGGAGGTAGAAGATCAGCAATATATTTAAGTACTGAGTCTACCCAGTTAACCAGTCTACCCACAGAAGGAAAGATTAGTGAGGAAATCCTAAACCAGGTATATATACTGGGGTACGGGCCACCAATATACCTGGAAGAGCAAAGAATGCACCACCTGTTGAAGTTAGACTCAAAGAAGGCTGACAACCAGCAAGAGTTAGCAATATCCCCTAAAGAAGGAAGATAGGGAAGGGCCAGTGATTGAAAAATTTCTACAATTGGGATTACTAACAAAGTGTGAATCTGATTTTAACACCCCTATATGACCTGTTTGTAAACCCGACAGGTTATATCAGGTGGTCCAGGACTTACGAGCCGTAAATAAGATAACTGAGGACCTTTACCCAGTAGTGGCGAATCCACATACCCTGCTGACTGTGTTAACACCTGAACTAACTTGGTTTAATGTTCTAGATCTAAAGGATGCCTTCTTTTGCCCCCCTCTCCATGAAGCCAGCCAAAAATTACTTGCATTTGAATGGGAAAACCCCAAAAGTGGTCTCAAGACTCAGCTCACTTGGACGGTGTTGCCATAAGGATTTAAGAACAGTCCTACCATCTTTGGCAATCAGCTCACAAAAGACTTGGAATCTTGGGAAATGCCATCTGAGGAAGGGAAACTGTTACAATATGTGGATGATACCTTAATCGCCACCAAAACGGAGGACGATTGTATGGCCTGGATGGTGAGTCTACTAAATTTTTTGGGGGCTCCAAGGGTACTGGGTATCTAAGAAGAAGGCCCAAGTAATACAGCGCAAAGTGATTTATTTGGGCTGTGAACTTAGTGTTGGACAAAGAACTTTGGGACAGGCCCACAAGGAGGCAATCTGCCAAACTCAGAGACCTCAGACAGTGAAAGAGTTATGGACTTTCTTGGGAATGACTGGGTGGTGTCGACTGTGGATCTATAACTATGGACTGCTTGTTAAACCACTATCTGCACTAATAGCTATTGGACAGGAACCCCTTAAATGGAACAAGAAGACCACGCAAGCCTTTGAACTACTGAGAAAGGCTTTGATGTCGGCCGTGGCCTTAGGGCTCCCGGATGTGAGTAAGCTGTTTTTCCTTTTCTCCCACGAGAAGCAGGGGATTGCCCTGGGAATATTAGCACAAGATCTGGGTCCATATCGATGAGCAGTCGCCTACTTCTCCGAACAGTTGGACGCAACTGCAAAGAGTTGGCCCGAATGCCTGCAAGCAGTTGCAGCCGTAATATTGAACATACAAGAAGCCTGAAAATTTACCCTGGGCCAGAAAATGACTGTCTTGGTGTCCCATACAGTATCCGCAGTGCTGGAAGCAAAGGGTGGACACTCGCTCTCTCTACAAAGATTCCTGAGATATCAGGCTATACTGGTAGCACAGGATGATGTGGAGATCATAGTTACTAACATTGTCAACGCAGCTTCTTTCCTCAGTGGAAACACAGGAGAACCAGTGCATCATGACTGCTTGGAGACCACTGAAGCAACATATGCAAGCCGCCTGGATCTGAGAGATAGCCCCATGGGAAAAGGGGAAAACTGGTTTACAGATGGAAGCAGCTATGTCTTAAGTGGTAAGAGACATGCGGGATATGCCATTACCACCAGTCAAGAAGTAACAGAGACATGACCTCTACCCATGAATACCTCTGCACAGAAGGCAGAAATAACTGCTCTGACCTGTGCTTTGGAATTGGCCCAAAGCAAAACTGTGAATATCTATGTGACACAAAATACGCCTTTGGGGTCACACATGCGCATGGAACAATCTGGAAGGAGAGAGGACTATTGAATTCTCAGGGAAAAAACATCAAGCATGGAGAGGAGATCTTGAAACTGCTGGAGGCAGTCCAACTCCCTGAAAAAGTGGCGATTATGCACATTAAGGCACACCAGAAGGTGAGCTCAGAATTGGAAAGAGGAAATGAGCTGGCGGACAGAGAGGCAAAACAAGTAGCCAAAACAGAGGTAAAAAGAGAAGGGGCTTTGGTCCCTGATGGGCAAATCTCCCTAGAAGGTAAGCCAGAATATACCAAGGAAGATCAGAAGCTTATCACAGATTTAGAAGGGTCGTGTAACAAAGAAGGGTGGGCTCACACCCCACAAGGAAAACTAATCACTCCCTCCTGCCTAATATGGCATTTGGTAAGGGAAGAACATCAGAAAAGGCATTGGGGGACAGAGGCCCTAAATAGACATTTAATCAGAGAAATTGTGGCCAGAAACTTATATAACCACAGTGAGACACGTGACTCAGCAGTGCGATCTTTGCCTCCAGACCAATCCCAAAAATAACCCCAAGCCAGAAATGGGCCAAACCGGACGAGGCAATGGGCCTGGACAGCAATGGCAGATTGATTTTACCCCCCTTTTCTCGGGAGTTCTGTATCGATATCTATTGGTACTAACTGATACCTTTTCAGGTTGGCCAGAAGCATTCCGAACTAGAACAGCCAAGGTTCGGGAGGTAACTAAAGTATTGATGCAAGAGATAATACCACGTTTTGAGGTTCCAGCAACTATATCCTCTGACACAGGACCACATTTTACCTCAAAAGTGGTACAACAAATTAGCTGCCATTTGGGTATAAATTGGCAACTTCATACCCCATACCGCCCTCATTCAAGTGGCCAGGTGGAAAAGATGAACCACTTAATTAAACAGCAAATTGTGAAACTGGGACAAGAAGCAAATTTGGCCTGGCCTCGGTCTCTTCCTTTAGCCCTTCTGCACATATGAACTGGACCAAGGGCAAAGGAAGGACTGAGCCCCTTTGAAATCTTGGATGGACGACCCTACAAAATACAGAGGGGGATATCCATACAAGCTGGGGATGAAATTATGACCTCCTATATGGTGGCATTGGGCAAACAATAAGATTGGAAAGCATGTGGTTGGGACTTGGGGAAGAGATTTAGATGGACTTGTGCACAATATACAACCTGGAGATTATGTATATGTAAAGTCTCTTGCAGAAAAACTCTGGAGCCATGGTGGGAAGGACCATTCCAGGTACTCCTTACCTCCTTTACCGCGATCAGAATTAAGGAACAGAACACTTGGATTCATCACACCAGAGTGAAAAAGGCACCCAAAACCCCATGGAGGGTTACTCAGGTGCAACCGAAAAAGTCACACTTTTCACAATCTTGATAATGTCATTGGTGAAAGAAACTGAACAGTGGGAACACAATACTTATGTGAAACTTACCCAGGCAGTGAGTGATAGCTTCAACCTTTCTGATTGTTGGGTGTGCACACTGTTGCCTAAAGGCAACCTAGAGTTCCCCGTTTGGGGTGTACCTACAACATATTCAGGGTGGAGTTGGCCCCATGATAATCTGTATAATTCTACTCTCCCTTCAGGGGAGACAATACATTGGAATATAAGGGGCAATTGCCAACCAGGTCAGCAAAAAAGCGTGGCTCCAGATGGTCAGAGTATATGTTGGGGAACAATAAACCCAATACCAACCCCAAAGCAGATCCCAGAATATGTATGTGCTGA